TGCTGGGTGCGCTATTTTGTGTGTGTTTCTGCATTGCGGTTTGCGTTTGACTATGCAGGGTGCGTTTTGTGTGTTTTGCATTGCGGTTTTTGCTGCGTTTTTGATGTGTTTTGCTTTTTTTTCTGCTTTTTTTTTCTTGTTGCTAGGCAGATTTTAAACTCAAAACAGCAAAAACATGCCAAAAAAGCAGCAAGAACACAATACATGCTTTTCTGCAGCAATCCCATTGAAGTCTATAGAACCAAAAACGCAAAGTTTTGCATTAAAAAAAAAGTCCCTGACCCTTTCCAAAAATACACCGGGTGAAAATACAGAGATATGAACTTGTCCCATAGGAAATCACGTTAAATGGACTGCACTGCATTTCTGCAAAATGCTTCAGAAAACGCATAGGTGTGAACCTAGGGTAAGGCTAGGTTCACACCTATGCAGTTTGCATTTGAACCGTTTCTGCAATGCTTTTTTTAGTTTTTGCACGTGTTTTTGATGCATTTTGCGGTTGCATAAATTATTTGGCAGGCTAAACAGCTCTCAAATATTGATTTATTCTATGTGTTTAGCTGTTTGTCTGGAGTTTAACATTAAGGTATTTATGTAATATCTTATGTGGTTTCACAAATCTTTTATATGAATTATTGCCTTTTACAAACCAGTCAAAATGAATTTAACAGCTGGAGAATTAACAACATATGAGATTGGTTGCTATTGGGTAACATAGACAGCTTGATAAATGAGACCCTATATATGTTTCTAGCTTCGTAACTTCATTATTGAAATTGGCATTTAGTTTTACTTCATGAGATGTTACCATAGAAGTTTATCTTACTATATTAATAAATCTCATATATCTAATTAAATGCCAGTAAGAAAGAACATCTCCATGTTGCATTTTTTTGTCTACACAAGCAGATGTGAAAGCATAGAAGTTGGTAGATGTATTAACCTCTATGTAGTTACAGGGACAATGACCTTTTGCTGTTGTTATATTTCTATTTATTTGCAGTCTGGACATCTAGCCTGACAAAACACCTCTGGATGAAATTTTTCACTTGTAGAAAGAGCCATAAAAAGAAAAAAGGTGACAGCAGATACCCATGTGACCCCTCTCAGTCTGCCCTTCTTTGTCTGTCCCTGGTGCTGAGCCTCAGGCCAAGTAGTATCCTGCCAGTCATCCAGAATCCTTACATTTTTCTGATTCTATTTTTAGTTGGACAAATGATTAGTTTTGATTTTGATTTAGAGATCATTTTCAGAGCAAATAGTAAAGACTGACAAAGTTTCATATCTGCCACTGTGCAGCACTTGACTATAACAAGCACACAACGGTAGGTGAGTCAAAGAAAAGGTTTAGTGGCAGAGGTCTGCAATTATTTAAGTCTTATAGAAAAAAAGGAAAGTCATTTGCATCAGCTCATGGGGAGCACATTTCTTATAGAATAGAACATACAGAGTATAATGGCAGATCTTTTAAAAAAAAGAAAAGAAAAAAATAAAGAAAAAAGACCCATATAGCTAACTTTTAATGAGTGCATAGCAAATATAAGTAAATATACAGTGTTTGCTTCAACGATGTGGATGCTGTACCTGCAAATAAGGTTCAATTGACCAGCAGCAGGATGTGTCGGCATTAAAATAAAGTATAATTCCTAGCAAAAGCAAATGGTAATTCTGTCCACAAACTGCTTGACTGTTTTCCCAGAATATGTCTGTAAGCATCATTACCGAAAACTGTGCAATGTAGTCAATATAACGTTATCAGTTTAAAGCATAGAATTACCTACAGGGATACACCTGTGTGTTGGCCCCCCCCCATAGTGGCGGCACTCCAGAGCACTTTGCAACCCTGGTAGTTCTGCCACTGGTGTCAGTCTTTATTTATTTTTGTTATTTTTTAAAACAATGTTTTACCATTTTATTTATTTATTTTACAAAGTTATTTTTTATTTTTCTACAATTTTTTGGGAGCCCCGTTGGGGGGCTTTGGTGAAATATCAGGGATCTAAACCTCTGATGTTCCACCTTTGAGACAGAGAAAAGAGATTGAGGACGCAGTCCTCAATCCCCATCTCTGCAGCCTCAGAAGCACAAAATTAATGGACAGGAATAGCTCTTTACAGAGCTTCCTGTTCATTCATAAACAGAAGCATAGTAAACATAGTTATAAATGAACACCGTTTACTATGCCTTAGATATGAATTGGAGAGAGTCATTGACTGGTATGGATCACTGACTTCAGACAAGGAAGGAGTCAGTTAATGACACATTTACTGGCCCCTTCCCCGCTCTCCATCCCCAGGAGCAGCTGGCAGAATAGGGGACGAGGGCACCCAGCAGCGCTGCGAGGGGTGAGGGGGGCCAGAAGAGAGCAAACAGGCCAGATCATTGAAAGAGGTGGAGGGGATCGGTTCCTCTATATGCTGCCCCCGCCACCTGTTCTATCTGCACAAGCCCCCTGGAGAATGGGGCTGGGTTGCAATTGCAACCCCTTTATGTACTCCCCTGCTCCTAACAGTATAGGTTTTAGTGGGACCTTCCCAAGATTTGAACAAAATCTTGGTATCCAGTGAATCAAGGTCTGGAGGCCAGTGCCAGAACAAGTTCTGGCATTTAGCTCCAGTAACTTGCCTGACAGAGGCATGCCAGAGTGGGCACCTGGGGCACTTGTCCCACATCTCTTATGGGTGTCAGGGGTCCAAACACTGCAATTGCCCCCTCTGTGCTAGGCAGCATCTCTTTAATTTGAGGGGATGGTAAGATATCTGCTGGGGAGTGCTTCGGGAGGGAAAAGGACTATGGGCAAAAAGTGTTATGGGGGATTTCAAATCTGACCCTCAAATCCCCAGTCCTCTCCCCTCCAAAAGCACCCCCCAGCACATATCCTTTTACCCCTCATCACTCCTCTAGGTTTATATCCTCATTACCTGCAACCCCCTTCCCAGTTACTGTGTCCCCCTCCTTTCTATACATCCATAAACACAGACCTCAGATCATCAGCACGGGTCTTGCAGCGTAATGTCCCTCCTCCACGGCTCCTCCTCCTCCTGCCTGTGTACAGGAGAACATTGGAGCTGAGGAGGAGGCGGAGGATTCAGTGAGTTCTGTGTGCAGGCAGTTGGCTGCAGATGCAGCTGCTACAGAGGGGGCAATTGCCAGTGTGGGAAGGGGTACTCCACAAGAGATATGAGGCAGGTGTCCTGGGTGTCCATGCTAGCGCACCCCTGTTAGGCAAGTAACCCTGGTAGTTTCACCACTGGTGAAATAGTATTGCCTTCTATCACTATGGTCCTGGATTTTTCCAGACTTGGCCCTAGTGCCCTTTTGCTTACAGGACTGTGGTAGAGAGTCTAGACCAGTAGTCTCCAAATGGTGGCCCGTGGGCCAGATGAAAGCCTTTACTTGCCTTTAACCGACCCTTGAGGCACTTTTTCTCCTTCTGATAAGAGGCACTATTCCTTCCACTGACACCAGCAATGAGACACTATTTCTTCCACTGGCACTAACATTGGGACATAAATTCACCTACTGATATAAAACAATGGAAAACTATTCCCCCCACTAACACCAGTGATGGGACACTATTCCTCCCACTAACACCAGTGATGGGGCTCTTTTCCTCCCAATGACACCAGTGATGGGGCTCTTTTCCTCCCACTGACATCAGAAATGGGGCTGTTTTCCTCCCACTGACACCAGTGATGGGTCACTTTTCCTCCCACTGACACCAGTAATGGATCACTATTCCTCGCACTGACACCAGTGATGAGACACTTTTACTCCCACTGACACCAGTGATGAGGCACTATTCCTCCCACTGAGATCAGTGACAGGGCACTATTCCTCCCACTGACACCAGTGATGGGGCACTATTCCTCCCACTGACACCAACAATGGGACATTATTCCTTCCAGTGACACCAGTGATGAGGCACTTTTCGTCCACTTTCGTCCACAGTAATGGTGGAATATTCCTCCTCCCACCAACACTAGGGTATTTTCTACTCAGTTACCACAATCCAGCCCCCATAAAGTCTGAAGGACAGTAAACTGGCCTTTTATTTAGAAAGTTTGGAGACTCCTGGTTTAGAACATAAACTCTAAACTCCTTAAATTGGGAAGGTTCACAATAAAGGACTGTAGGACTTGGTAAATCTATACAAATAAATAAAAAATGTACACTAGTTGTCACGGAAAACAAATAAACAAGAAAAATACAATCAAATAGCACAGTTATGGTTTTCTAATAAAAAAATATTTAAATATACACTTTATGCTGATTGATCACAAAAAAAGTGTCTTGGCTGATCCACCATATTATATGTTCAATCATATCTATACCACCTTGCCACATGCAACAAACTTGTACAAGTTCAATTATCCGCTGTTGTTGTACTGTGGGTAACTGATCCAAATGGTAAACACACTTGCAAATCCCTAGAACAAGCATTAATACTCCTTCTATTCCAGAAATATATGTTATACATGGCATCTGCATACATACAGTGGTTAATTTACTAAAACTGGAGAGTGCAGAATTTGGTGCAGCTGTGCATGGTAACCAATCTGCTTCTAACTTCAGCTTGTTCAATTAAGTTTTTTCCCCCCAAAAAAACTGGAAGATGATTGGCTTCTGTGCAGATCTGCACATGACTTTGCACTCTTGAGTTTTAGTAAATAAACCCCATACTCTGTATGTTCAACATGTACTCATAATAGTCTGCCTTTGTTCTTCTGTATATATGTGTACATTTGAAATGATTATTAATAGGAAATTTTCCCACATACCCATACAGAAGTTAACTAGTTCCTGTCCGGGCCAATTCTGACATTTCTCTCATACACAGGAGTTTTGATTTTAACCACCTCTTGCCCGTCATATAGTCCAGTGACGGGCGCAAGGTGGTTTTCTTGCTCAGGGAGCGCGCAGCGCGGCGATCGGCGGTGCGCTGTGTCCCACGGACACAGCGTATCACCGATCTATGGAAAGAGCCGAAGATGTTGGCTCGGTCATGTGATCAGCTGTGTCCAATCACAGCTGATCACATGTAAACAGGGAAATGCCGGTTATCTGCATTTCTCTCCCCACGAGCTGTCACACTGACAGCTGGAGAGGAGATGAGAGCCGGTAATCGGCATTCCACGGAGGGGACATGTACACTGATCATCAGAGCACTGATGATCAGTGTGCCCTGATGATCAGTGTGGCCCCAGAAGTGCCACCTGTCAGTGTTCATCAGTGCCAGCTGCCAATACTGAACAGTGCCACATCAATGCCACATATCAGTGCCTACCAGTGCACATCACATCAATGCCACATATCAGTGCCCATCTGAGCTGCTTTTCAGTGTCACCCATCAGTGCCAGTCAGTGCCACCCATCAATGCCAATCAGTGCCACCTATTAGTGCTGCCAATCAGTGCCACCCATCAGTGCCAGTCAGTGCTGCCTATCAGTGCCAGTCAGTGCCCTATCAGTGCCCGTCAGTGCCGCCTGTCAGTGCCGCCTATCAGTGCCAGTCAGTGCCGCCTATCAGTGCCGCCTATCAGTGCCATATATGAGTGCCATATATCAGTGCCGCTGTTCAGTGCCCATCAGTGATGCCTGTCAATGCCCATCAGTGCCACATACCAGTGCCTCCTCATCAGTGCCCACCAGTGCCACCTATCAGTGTCCATCAGTGCAGCCTATCAGTACCCATCACTGCAGCCTCATTAGCGCACATCAGTGAAGGAGAAAAAATCACTTATTTACAATAATTTACAACAAAAACTAAGAAAAAACTTTTTTTTTCAAAATTTTTCAACGGTTTTTGGTTTGTTTAAGAAAAAATACAAAACCCAGAGGTGATTAAATACCACCAAAACAAAGCTCTATCTCTAAAAAAAAATGATAAAATTGTCATATGGGTACAGTGTTGCATGACCACGCAATTGTCATTCAAAGTGTGACAGCGCTGAAAGCTGAAAATTGGCCTGGGCAGGAAGGGGGTATAAGTGCCCTGTAGGCAAGTGGTTAAAAGAAAATAACTTAGAACCCCCAAAACATTATACCCTGGAGAATAAGATGGTAGCAGTTGAAATGCACGCACTTGCCTTTTCACATAAGCATGGGGGGATGAGGACACAGAGGGGAGACATCACACGCACTGGCTACATAATCAATAATCACTGTGATAGTCAATCAGAGCCTATCACACTAGTCATGTGATCAGTATCTGCTTCCCCCAGGTCCCGATCGCTTGTAGGACATCCAGAGCTGTCACTGACAGTCCGGTATTAGTGCTGGGAGCATGTGCTAGAGCACACTTCCTGCAGAAACATAGAAACACATGTACTGTATGTGGCATCCAGGTTTAAAGCTCACTTCTTGTACACCGCATATTTGTGTTAGGTGGTCACAAAAGGGGTTAAGGAGATACCTCATGCAAAAAAGACAAAAATAAATGCATGAAGCCTCCCTAAAATTCCATAAAAAACTATTTAACTGACTATGCAGTTGCAGTCTCGCTGGCCGGGAAGATTGGTGAGCATGTGCCTCCCTCCTGAACCATACCAGGCCCCATGCCCTCAATATGGGGGGGGGGGGCCATGTTAATGAGGACACGGGCAACTTTCCACCAGGCTTGACCGGTAGTTTTGGGTGTCACAATAAACATATACTTGCAGTGTACAGTGTCCAACAATGTAACTGGGGCTTCTGTTACTGCTGAATGCTGTTGTGCCCTTCAGTTCCCCCACACACCAACTCTAATGTAGGTGGGCCCTGTACCTGGTTGCCCAGTTACATTGTTCAATCAGGCATGATCCCACTGAGAACAGGAAGGAGGGATAAACTGCAATTTATATCTCCTGGGCTTGTCCAGGTATCCAGGGTTGATTGTTTTGAGACCAAATAATTGATAAACTGTTAAAGCAACCTTACAATTATACAATGTTTTCTTTATTAAATAATGTGTTGCTATATAACCCTTCATTAAACCATAGTAAACACTAATCTTCAGGGAACAGCGAATTTGCCCAAGCTTTATTAGCAAGGTGAACCTTAAATCCTGATGGAAATCTATGAACCCTGAAATTCGAAGCAAACACAACTGAATTGTAATAAGGGGAGGGTTCTGGTCGGTCATTGTCAATGCTGAAATAGATTTAGACAGATATTGTCATAAAAAGGCACAGCAGCTTCCAAGATTTTCTTTAACCCTTTATCCTTTAACCTTCCTCTCATACTTCAATTTCCTAGCAAAAAAAGCTGATTTTGAAATCTATGAGAGAAGTGTAAAAACTGGCGTAGGGGCCAAGTGGTTAAAGGGAAACAATACAATTTCAAAATTGCATTTAATAACATATGGGGGGTTGCCCTGACCCTACCTATGAGGTGGCACATCTATGCGATGTATACAACCTACTGCAAAAAAGAAAACTTTGTATTTAAATTTCTGGCAAAAAACAGAGCATCCAAGAATTCTATTAATCTGTACCAGATCCTTACCCAAGATGAGGGTCTAATATAGATGCAAGTGGGGAACCCACCCACCTCCACCGCTTATTTTTTTTGCATGAGGTCCCCTTAAAAGTCATACCTTCAGGTCAGGAATAGTGATGGGCCGAACACCCCCGTTTGGTTTGCAGTCGAATATTCAAACCTAACGAAACTTTGACCACGAACTTCGAACAGAGACAATTCACTAAGCAGTATCTTACTGCATCCGAGTATGCGGTAAGTTACCGCACAGCTACTAAAAAACCGCATGAGTTATATTATTAAGTCATGTGGTATTTTAGTTGTGAAAACATTCTTTAATGTTTCAGCTGTCATCAGGGTCCCCCGCTGACAGCTGAATTTAAAAAGAATTGCCGGCAATTATTTATTTTTTTAAAATGGAGTGGGGGATCCCCCCCCCCCCCCATCCATACCATAGGCCCTTCGAGTCTGGTATGGATTTCAAGGGGAAACCCCACACCAATTTTTTTTTTTTATAAATATCGTGGGGGTCCCCACCAAAATCCATACCAGACTCATCCAAGCATGCAGCCCGGCAGGTCAGGAAAAGGGGAGTGAGTGCCCCCCCCCCTTGAACCATACACATGCCGTCAACATGGGGGGGCGCTTTGGGGCAGGGGCTTCCCCCCAAAGCACCTTGTCCCCATGTTGATACTGAAAAGTGCCTCTTCCCTATAACCATGGTCAGTGGTCTGAATCTTTTGGAAGCCCCCAGATCCCAGCCCCCCCCCCCATATGAATGAGTATGTGGTACTCATTCACAGAAGACAGTCTTTGTCAAGTCCTTTATTAAAAACAAAAATTAAAAAAATGTCCCCTGAAGTAGATCCATCGTCAATCATGATGCCCGCGCCGCCATGGTCAACCCAAAAATTTTTTTTAAAAATGCTCCGCTCTCAATGCTGGCTCCCACCATCTTGACAGCTGCGCCAGCCTAACAGATCTTAAATATTGTGATGATGTCACAAGGCCTCTGGTCAAGTGCATTGCATTGGCCAATCACAATGCACTGTCAGGATGTAGTGCATTGTGGGGTGCGGTGGGGAAACAGACTGCTGAACGCTCTTACCGTTTGTGTTTACCGAACACACGAACGGCCGATGTTCAAGTCGAACTTATGTTCAACTTGAACATCAAGCCCAACTCTAGTCAGGAATGAATTATAGGGGAAACCTACATGCCTTTACATTTTTAAACTGTCGCTGAGTCATCAGAGTCCTTTGGTTATATGGCCTGGTATACATGATAGCAGGAAACTGTCATGTATAATCATGGTAGTAATACCATTATTATGCATGATGTTCACCTCCTGTAGAATGGGTAAATGTTCAGGAATTCATCTGAACACCAAAACAGCCGGTCACCGTCCTCCTCCATCCTACACTCCCTCACCCACATCTTCAATCTCTCCCTCTCTACTGGTGCATTCCCCTCCCCCTTAAAGCACGCGCACATCACCCCCATACTCAAAAAACCCTCCCTTGACTCCACCAACCTGAACAACCTTAGACCAATCTCCCTGCTGCCATTTACATCCAAGCTACTTGAGTGCTTAGTCTACAATCGCCTAAGCTCCCACCTCACTAACAACAACCTCCTCGATCCACTACAGTCTGGCTTCCGTTCCCTACACTTCACCGAAAACCGCCCTACTCAAAATCATTAATGACCTGCTAACCGCCAAAGCTAATGGCCACTACTCAGTCCTCCTACTCCTCGACCTTTCCGCGGCCTTCGACACAGTTGACCACCCCCTCCTCCTTAATAAACTACACTCCCTTGGCATCAGAGACTCCGCTCTCTCCTGGCCCTCCTCCTATCTATCCCAACGCTCCTTCAGCGTTACCTATAACGCTACCACCTCCCCCTCTCTCCCCCTCTCTGTTGGGGTCCCCCAAGGCTCTGTCCTCGGACCCCTTCTCTTCTCCATCTACACCTTCTCCCTCGGCAAACTGATACACTCCCACGACTTCAACTATCACCTCTATGCCGATGACATGCAAATTTACCTCTCCATCCCTCACCTCACCCCTTCAGTCTCCGCCCGTATCGCCCACCTACTGAACGACATGGATGTCGCTCCATTTCCTCAAACTGAACCTCTCCAAAACCGAGCTCCTAATTTTCCCCCCAGCCCTCGCCCCCCCCATCCTCTCCATCACGACCAACAATGCCACCATCAGTCAAACCCCGCAAGCCAAAGTCCTAGGTGTCACTCTAGACTCAAACCTGTCCTTCCAACGCCATGTCCAATCGTTGGCAAACTCATGCAGGCTCCACCTCCGCAACATCTTCAAAATACGTACGTTCCTAACCCTAGACACTACTAAACAACTCGTTCACTCCCTTATTATCTCACGCCTGGACTACTGCAACTCCCTTCTCACCGGCCTACCCAAACACAGGCTATCCCCACTTCAGTCTATCCTGAACTCTGCAGCCAGACTCATCCACTTTACCAACAGCTCCGCTTCTGCCAGCCCCCTCTATCATTCCCTCCACTGGCTTCAGATTGCCCAATGCATTAAATTCAAAATACTAACACTGACATACAAAGCCATTCATAACGCTGCCCCAAACTACCTCACCGACCTGATACCCAAATACCGCCCAACCCGTACTCTTCGCTCCTCACAAGACCTCCTACTTTCTAGCTCCCTGGTCTCCTCCTCCCACGCCTGATTGCAGGACTTCTCCAGGACTTCCCCCATCCTCTGGAACTCACTACCCCAATCCATCAGACTGTCACCTACCCTCCTCACCTTTAGGCGCACCCTGAAAACCCATCTCTTCAGGGAAGCCTACCCCACCCTCACTTAAAAGCCAATCTCCTCCACTCCTCCTACCACCATCCTCCACAGTCACCCCACAGCCACTTCCTCCTGTACCGCTATCCCCTCCCTCCTAGATTGTAAGCTCAAAAGAGCAGGGCTCTCGAACCC